CATCCAATAATATAAGAATCGTCAATCATACACTCCAAAAATAAATCAAATGTAATGAAACAAAAACAACTTCAACTAAAAATATCTGTCGACGATTTTATAATTATATTAATAATGCAAGTAATTTCGAAAATAGAAATAAAAATAATAGAAAATCAAATCTAGGATGGGGACAAACTTTTTTTTAATCAACACCGACGTCTCGCCTTCTGGGCAAGGTTTTAATGTCAAGAGTCTTTTTTCTGCTGCTGGTTAATCCTATTTTCTCAAAATAAGGGAAAGGAATATCTACAGTGTACAGATTTTAAAATATGACCCCGGCACGAAATACATTATGATTTCAATAAATTTATTCCTAATTTATTTATCGTATGGTTTCTTTTAATATAAAACATTAGAAAATACCTTCACTTCAACGTATTGTTAATATTTTTTGAGTTTAACTGTTTGCTGTTGTTAAGATTAAATACAATTTCTTATGTTTTGTTCTAAGAATTCATCTTTCTGTTAGTAATAACCAACGATCACACTTTATAGCGTTAAAAAGATTGAAAAGGAAAAGTCCACCAGATACGAAAAACCGGATGAGTCACAATCAGAAATACTGTCGTAGTACGTAATAATGGGATAGTGTACGAGACAAAATAATATGTAAAATACGATAACCACACAACTATACGGGCTTGTGTAGTACAACTCTTTACATCACCTTCAAATTCACCAACCACATAGTTGGTATCGTAATGATGGACTTTTACCTGTCGATGTATCATGTGTGGGCAGCTCAAGGAAAATGATAATCAGAAACAAGTACCAGTACGATAACATTTCGCAAAATGTACTGTGCATCATATTAATCCACTTACTCAATCATACATGTATGTAAATGACACTTGCAATGTTCGTTATTGAACAACAATTATTGTAATGTTAGTTGGCGTAGTTTTCAAATTTTTGACTCCTATTTTCTTAAATTTATAAACAAAAACTGGTGCTACTGTAGTCTCCTGCCTACCAACAAATATTTTCTTTACCCCGACTAGAATTTATAAGGGGCATGCTCCACCTAGCGTGTGGGCCTCATATGGCTAATGAGTGACACGATGTTATAAGGATTTCGCCGTAGACTCCTCATGAAAAAAAGTGATGATACTAAAATGAGGATTGCCTTATGGGTTTTTCAAATGGGTCTTAAGGGGCAAAACTTACAATTAAATGTACCTTATGGGGGGCTCGATGAGACAAATCCGTTTGAAAATACTCTCGGTGAAATGAAAAAACTTACAAAAAATGGTAACAATCCCCTTGAATGAATTCAAATAAGGCAAGGCGGTATATGCCCCTTCCTTGCCCTAGGGGGCAATCTCATGGGGCCCACAAGGGGTAGTGGTCTACCCACTTAAGAGACCTGTACTACATCCCTCAAAATTCTAGTCGGGAATATGCGGTCTACTGCAGTTGATTTCCACTACGTTCATGTTGTCTTCTTCCTTATGATCGATCCCAACGTAACCGGGGATTACGGTAGGAAAAGACAACATGAACGGAGTGAGTGTCCTTTAAGATTGTGGTTACCATTATTATATACACTACCTACACAGTACTCCACAATTTAAAACAATTAGTAATGTTAAAATTTGGAATTCTGTATCCTGACTGCTTCTGCTTATCTTATAGATGTATATTTAAAATAAAAACGTCTTTGAACAGCATTCGAAATACTTTTCCCATTATCGCATCGTCAATTTTAACTCCGTAGTTGCTAGAAAAAATGAAANCGTTAAATTTAAATACCACTTTGTTAACCATAAATTATGTCTAAAATGCATCAATTTTGAACATCTCTGAAAAGAAATGACCTACAATTCCAGTATTAACGCAAACATGTATAATATTATAAAAAAGTTTACTTTTCTCAAAAAGGGTTAGTCGTAGATAGTAACATCCTTATATTGGACGAAAGGACATAAAATTCTGCACATGATGAGCTGACAAAAAATATAGCTTTCTATTAAAAAAAAGTTTACTTTTCTCAAAAAGGGTTAGTCGTAGATAGTAACATCCTTATATTGGACGAAAGGGCATAAAATTCTGCACATGATGAGCTGACAAAAAATATAGCTTTCCATTTAAAAAATATAGTTATTCCAGTTCGAAACTATTTATTTTGGAAGTGGTAGATTTCAATGAATTTAAAAAAGGAAAATGTTTGCGTTAATAGTTGAATTGTAGGCCATTTTTTCCACAAGCTATGTGTGAAAATAGCACACCCCTGTGTGCTTTCGTTTCGGAGAAATTCAAAATGACGCAGAGTACTGCAACCGCTTATTTATTGATTGGAATATTGGAAATTGGTGCATTCTAGACCTAATATATGGTTAACAAAGTGGTATTTAAATTTAACGAGAAATTCAAAAATGCAATAAAAAATGGGACATTCCACTTGAAAAAATGAAGTTAGAAAGCCTCCAGGAAAAATGAGACACTCTGTATAATCGAAAATGATTTTAGGATATGAAGATACTTATATGCTAGCACTTTTTTGATATCTTCAACTATGAAGCAGTTATTAAAGAAACCGCTTGCATGGGACACCCTGTATTTGTATTATGTACAAAATTGTGATACGTTTACAGAAAATCGCAGAAAGAACTCAAAGTCAGGAATAATAATAAATCTTTGTATAAAATGATAGATATCCCAATAATTTTTATTAATATTTATTAAATATTTCTTTTTGCTGCATTTGATTCGTTCAATGTCAATACCAAACAACAATAAATTGTAACTATCGAAGGAAATGAGTCGTATTGTAGTTTCCGTAATTTTCTGCGGTTACTTAAAATTTAGTTACAGTAACAGCTAATTCTAATTCACTTTTAATATGCATGCATGCATTTTTTGTAAAGTTACGTAATAAAATTAAAAATTATTTTCGTTCAAATACACACACCTATTTCCATCTTGACAGTGACAAACTAAACATAACTGCAACCGGCTTTTCCCGAATAAAACCAAACTCGACCAACGCATTCAAATTAGGCAATTATTAAATTAATTAATTAATTACTAAAATTGCACGTCCTTTATTCAATTTAAAAATTTAAGGTTAAATAACAGAAATTGCAAAAAATAAAGTGTCTCTGATTAGGTTCCTACAGAAATTATCCTAAACCGTGACGTAAAACCATATCCATTTTTTTCATCTACAATTTACACCATATCTGCACGGTTACTGAAAATATTAATTAAAGCCGCTTAACCGGTTGGCAGTTTTCTACAATTTTCCTTACATGACTTAAAGCTTTACCAAGCAAGAGATAAAACGCGCACAGACCTTGGGACATAATTAACAGCACGTTTAACTAGCTTGAAAATTATGTAAGAATTTTGTACACCTCAAATATACTCGGATCATGTACTTACGATTCGTAAAATAACTATTTTAATTATAGAAAAAACCGTCATGGTGATAACTGAATAAATTTCATCAACTGTGTAATAAATATCCGATTTTAACATCAATTTATTGATGAATCATAATGGTCTTATACATTTTACACAGACTTAATTAAACAGTAATTAATAGGGTAATAATTTTGTTTGAAAGTTACCGGTATATTACATATTAAATTCGAAAAATACAAAATAAGACCGACATTCAGTAAACCCTAAAGTCATGTATCTTAATAATAATTAACCATATAAACGCGTCCTGGAGGCAGCAAAACCACAAAAAAATACACACAATAAACCATAAAATATTGGTTGTGGTTGTCCACAGGTTTCCTTTTTAATTCAAGCAACACAAATACTAAAAATCTAATTATTTAGATTTTGTTAATATTTAAAAAGCTTCAAGATTTCGAACCCCTAGTTATTCGAAAGTAAAATTTCTCAAAAGAATTTTTGATAGTAGAAGCTACAAAAATGAACTTTTGAAGTTGCGTGAGCCCAGCAAACGAAACATACATATTTACTACATACATCACGCAGTTTTTTTAACATGTATTATGACAAAGTAGAAATTCTACGAAGAAATTTAAACACCTTCGCATTTATATGTATATGTATACGTATATCTACCTGTACATAAGTTCATAAGTGTCTAGATAACGGTATTTCGATGGTAAAAGTTTAATGAACAAACATAAGTCGATTCTCGTAAACAGAAAGAAACGAATATAATACGAGGAATTACAATTCGCGCTTCTCTTAAAACCTCCTTAACCGTATTGTTCTGAATAAAACTTACACAACAATTAATTATACATATACTTAAGTCTGATAAGCAGATAAGATACACTTGCACAAGTCAGTAATCCTATAAAACGCTGTGATGTAGTAAATAGGAACATTCCAATCTAAATATACATATGTACTTGTGACACGCGATTAAGGAGTGAATAGAAAAAAATCGGAACGTTTGAAAGTGCCAATTAACACCAGAACTACAGATTAACTAACAAGGGACGAAGTATTACAAGCAGCAAACGCATTACGGGGCAGTTTCTTTTACTACATGATTATAAAGATATGTCAGTTCTAGTGTCATACACGAATTTTCGATTTTTAAAATGAAATTCCTACCTTTTTGTAAAGTTTGATCCACGTGAGGTCGCCTTTTGAGTCTGTATACTGAAGTCCAAAGAACCAGACCTCCCGTAATCCAATGGTCTTGACCACCTGGTCGAAGAGCTGCTTGCCGGTGGTCGTGGCCTGGATCGCGAATTCTAGCTCCGCGTCCATCGTCGTCACCCTTACGTTCATCTGCAATAACCAATAAAAAAGGCAATTACTAATTTGTATCATCATAAACAATTTTGACACTTAATCTATACATCGAAGATGCTATCAACATCATTAAAGACAGTACAACCGTAGGGAAAGGCATAGAGGGGTAAAAGATTAGTACGAGGGTGGATTGATAAGTTTCCGGCCTAACCAAGAGATGACGCCACTAGGCCTACCTTGAGGTGACATTCTATAGTACCATCCTTGGATAGCTTGTAGCTATAGTTTCAGCCCGATCTCCTTGCTAGTGTAGGTTTGACAGCACGCTGAACAAGACGCCTCTGTGGTTTTCGTAAAAATGGAAAAGCAGGAAAATCGTGCTGTCATCAAATACTTTTATTTGAAGGGGTTAACGCCGAAGGAAATTAAAAAAGAGATGGACTCAACACTGGGGACATCCTCCCCGTCATATTCAACCGTTAAGCAGTGGGTTTCCGAGTTTAAAAAGGGTCGTGTGAGCACCTCTGATGGGCCTCGCTCAGGACGCCCCGTTGAGGTCACAACTCCAGATATGATCGAAAAAATTCATCAAATAGTGCTGGGAGACCGCAGATTGAAAGTGCGTGAGATAGCTGAGACCTGTAAGATGTCATATGAACGTGTGCAACATATTTTGCACCAACATTTGCATATGGAAAAGCTCTGTGCAAGATGGGTGCCGCGTTTGCTAACAGTCGACCAAAAATTGATTCGAAAAAACATTTCTACCGCAAATTTGTCATTGTATAAGCGTAATCCAAGCGAATTTTTGCGTCGATTCGTAACCGTTGACGAAACGTGGGTCCACCACTACACTCCTGAAACCAAAGAACAGTCTAAACAGTGGATTGGACCAGGGGAACCAACTCCAAAGAAGGCAAAAACAATTTTTTCGGCGAACAAGGTTATGGCTACTGTTTTTTGGGATGCAAGAGGTATTATATACATTGATTACCTTGCAAAGGGTAATACTATCACTGGTCAATACTACGCAGACTTATTGCAACGTTTGAGCCACGAGGTGAAAATTAAACGACCTCATCTGGCGAAGAAAAAAATCTTGTTTCATCACGATAACGCACCAGCGCACACGTCAATCGTTGCGACGGCTAAAATCAACGATCTAAAGTTTGAATTGATGCCGCACCCTCCTTACTCTCCAGACCTAGCCCCGAGTGACTATTTTCTGTTCCCTAATCTCAAAAAATGGCTTGGCGGTAAGAGATTTGCGGACAATGAAGAAGTAATCGAAGCTGTAAATGGTTATTTTGAGGAGCTTGACGAATCAGTCTATAGAGATGGCATTAATAGACTGGAACACCGCTATGAGAAATGTATCAGCCTTGGAGGAGATTATGTTGAGAAATAAAAAAAAAAAATTTTTAAAAACCTTGTTTTTCTTGGTCAGGCCGGAAACTTATCAATCCACCCTCGTATGCTTAGATTTGCAGATGATATGGCAGTATTAGCAGTTAGAGATAGGGTTAAATAAAATGTGAGCGGTATTGACAAAACAGCATACTGGTATGCAAGGGAAGAAAAAGTAGGGAAAGAGCGAATTCAAAAATACGAGACGAAAGATTAGAAGAAGTGGCTGATTTCAGGTATCTAGGAAGTCAGATAAGTCAGGACGGAAGGTGTAGTGGGAATATGAAGCAGCGCATAGTGCAGAGTTGAGTCGCCTTCAATAAAAAGAAGTCACTTCTATGCTCACGAACAATTAATTTAGAAATTCGAAAAAGATTGTTAAAGGTGTATGTTTGGAGCGTGCTGTACGGGTGCGAAACATGGACAGAAAATGTTAGAATTGTTGGAAATGTGGTGTTACAGGCGAATGATGGGGATACCGTGGATAAAGGTTAGAAATGAAGAGGTGTTAGAAAGAATAGGAAAACAGGGCTCTTTGAAAGTCAACAGAAAATAGGTGAGAGACATATTAGAGGCAGAAACGGGAGTTAGGAGGGGTAGAGGTAGACCTAGATTAGATTACTGTTCGCAAATAGTTAAGGATGTGAGTTGTTCTAGGTTTAGGGAAATGCGAAGATTAGCTCAAGATAAGGAGTGGAGGTGCGTGTGCAACCAGTTTTAGGACTAACGACCTAATGATGATGATGATGATGATGATGATGAACATATGCACTAGATTTCTTAAAAATGTTCATAGTATGAAAACTGTACATAAATAAAATAACAGCATAGCGTGAATTAAGAAAACCTCATAATTACCCGTTGAAATGCCTTCGAAAATTGCAGATGAACTTATCAATCAATTTGTTAAAGCTATTTTTTCTAATTTACTCAAGCCTTCAATCAACCTAAATAGATTTGTCGGTTACAAAACTTAATTTCATTTGGTCAACTGTAATAACAAAAACAAACTGCGGTAAAAACCAAAATCGATTTCCTACGTTTAGACTTAAAAGTTGGTTCCTAAAATTTGTCAAATCTTTTATCGAAATCCATACTAAATCTACATCAGTTTCTTTTTCTTTTTTAAGTTACTTAAAATCTTTATTTTTTCCTTATAGTGTGTGTATCTATTGGTGAATATCATATGACATCATCTAATCGTATGTATTTTTAGATTACGTTGCCAATTCGAATAGTATATAGTATAATTCATTCATTAATGAAGAGATACAGCAAGTAGTGACGATATCAAAAAGGCTTGCATTAACGTTACAACTTCTGGAATTAATTGAATTAAACAAACTATCAACTACTACTTTAACCCGTTTAATCATATCGATTAGGGTTGTAATGGATGCGAATACTTTAGTAAGATTAAGCTTGCGGATTACTGAAATTCTAGATTTAAGATGACGACACAGATAATTCGTTTCTCTCTAAAAGTATTTAGTAGAATTGTTTGTATTATAAATTTATCGATAGCTCATCGACTGGACTAATGTTAGCCGTCTTTCAACATATCGTATTTCTTGCAAATAACACGTAGCCACATAGCAAATAAAGCAAAACCTTTCAGATTTGTCTTGAACTTGAATGTTATAATATGTATTCATATGTATTTATTACGTTGATACCAATGAGTAACATAACTAATAATAAGTAAGGCTACTTAAAAAATTACAGTTCTGCTTCTACAAACATTTTCATAGTCATACCGCATCCTTACAGCGGCTACCTGACTACTATAATTTTCCGTATAAAGTATACATTTATTACAGTAGCACTTACAGTACACACAAAACATGTTGATATAATATTAATAATAGTAAAACAAAGCTGATAATTGAGTCAAGGCTGGTAACATTACCTTTATAGTTGCATACATATTACATGTACTGTAACGTACGTATGTCTAATGCTTAAGGTACGTGATGCAAAGTATTATTTTCTGTAGATTATCCGTGACAGTAAATGTACACTTATATATATATACGGTATTTAATGCATATGCGTCTAGAATAAGTACTTGTACCTTTTGTACTGTGTTGTATTTATTGTAGACTGCAAGTGAGCCACATGTTCGACGGTGTATAAAAAATCGGTACATTTACTGCATTAAAATGCGTACACGTATCGCACGATAGATAGTCGTAGAGAATCGCATCAATTCAATGAAAACCTAGAAGGCCGTTTGCATTAAAGACTAAATCGTTTTACCTACATACATACATACATAAATACCCAAAATTACCATTAGATAAGCCCATAAAAAAGAAAATCTACTTTGCTTGACCTTCTTATCACTACTTAATATTACAAGTATAATATGTATGTATAAAGGAGACACGGATGACAATTTTACAAGTCGCATTCACTTTTTAATAGGTAATTTATGTTTTTTGTGCTTTTGCTTATTTCCATTTATGTAGACAATGTTTCTGTTTTGCAAAAAAAAATGTCAGATGAACCTGACTCGGTACGACAAATACATTTGAATACCCAAGGTGGACACAATAATTATTACGTGAATGTTCAGAATTGGGTTACACAGACCTTGTTTTCAGCACCTGATCACTAATCGTAAAAATGACTTTCATGAGAAGAATATACACACATATATATACACACAAAATTGCGTTCCACTTGCTTAATTTACTCATGTTTCAGCCTCATAAATACTTCAGACGTTTCTATTAATTTTTACTCAAAGATAACAGACGAAAATTTTGAAATTTTATTTATCGAAAAACATTCAGGACTTTCTCCGTGTAATCGTATCAACTTGTACGTTTTTACAATAAAATGACATTCAAAAATAGGAGGTCAAGGTTCCATGATCCCCTAATAATACAAACTATCGGGTTGTTCGGAAAGTCATTTCGTTTTTTTTTGTGGAAATGAAAGACAGTTTTCGTATAATAAACAAATACTTTATTAAATTATATATTGACCGTTCTGGTCCAACACCTTTTGCCATCTTTCTGGTAGTAGCATAATTCCACGCTCATAAAATTTTTGGT